CTACAGAACATAGACGCTTGTGAATTCATGCAAACATCCTTAAATTTGCTCTAAAATCAGCAGAAGGAGTAGAAGCAGTGGTCATGCACGTACCTTACCGCTGTATTCCAGGGCAAGATGAGGTCTAAAAAAATAAATAAATAAAAAGTCACCTTCAGGCAGAAGTTCTGTGACGTTTTCTCGTTAATTTGTAACCATGAGCACATTTCCACAGAGAATAACAATGCCTGACCAAAATCTTGATGAAAAAAGTCAAATAACCATATCAATTTCATTGTTTGGAACAAATCTAAACATGGCTGCACACAGACAGCTTTGGGCCTGCAGGCGCCTGACAGAGGAAGTGGAAATCTTTATTTTCTGCCAACGCAGCCACCGCCTGTCCTCCAGGGTGAATTTAAGGATGGCGCCTACAGGTTGGTTTACTGTCTCATGCCTCTCTGCCGCTCTTCAGTTTAGTGCTAAGCTAGGTGAATTTGATGGGTTTCATTGAAGGACTGCCAGCTGCTCGGCTCATATCTGCCCTGAAAGGCCAGCCAACGACATTCATCATCCTCACACCCTCACATGTGCCTGTAGATGTAGAGCAAGCCCTGTAAAGTCTGACAGATGTCAGCTTCACTGCTCCAGACCCACACGTCGCTTCAATTAGTGATAGGTGTCCATTTGCAAACCTTTAGGAGATCTTTCTTGGAGGACACATGAGCAGGAAAAACAAAAATAGTAGGAGTTGCAACTTCTTCCCAGCAAAGAGAGCAATTGGATTGCTTTGTGATAGTATTTGTCTACTTAATCATAGTTCAGATCTATTGGAATGAAAGGTTTGGAAACGTTAATATCTTACCTGTTGATAGATGTTTGAATGACCTGAGTTTGGAGAAAACTAGACTGTCAGACTGATGAGCCAGTGTGGGGCAAAACCAAAGTGGAGTATTGTTATCTTAAAGCAACTCCAGAGTCAAAGATTTCACAGCTTTTTTTTTAATATATTATAAATATTTACATCAGCATTAAAGTTCTCATTACAATTTATTTTTAATGTATAAATATGTGGTTATTTGCGAGCACAAATAGCAGCTGCTGGCTTTAGTCCTTCAATTGCAGCCTGAGGCGTTTCCTCTGGGTCATTATCAAATTTCATAGAAGTGTTTTGCATGAACTGCTGAGAAGTTTTTAAGATTGGAGTTGTTTTAGGAGAGCAGCAATCCACTCCAGCCTTGACCACTCTCTGACCTGCTGTTAGCTTATCATTTAAACTACTAACCTGTTTTCTCCAAACTGAGGTATTTCTAAGAGCTATCTATTTAAAAACTATTGAAAACAACCTTTTGAAACTATGGTTTTATTGGTACGCTTAAGATTTTTAATTTTTAATCACAAAACCATTGTTACCTAACAAATAAACAAGGTTACAAAGTGATTTAGCTTAATGCAACATGAGACAGAAAACAAATGTAACAAACCAGTAAGTATGTGAAAAATAAATTATGTGGAAAATATTAATAAAAAAAAAAAAGAAGCTAAATGAGGGATTACTATTAGGACAACTATATCTAAAATACAGAAAGTTGAATTATTACTTTGTATAAATTACATGACATCCATTGTTTTTAAAGTTTACCAGCATTTAATCCAAAAAATTTTTTTCTTTCCCAGACAAAACATATATATTTGTATATATATATTGGCTCGCCTATTTCCATGTAATAATCTTTAGTTGATGTTTTTCTTAGTTAATATCTTGGGTGTTATCATTGTTTTTCTTTTACATCTTATTGTTGGATGTAACTGGGACCCTGTGTACATAATTTCGCTCCACCACATGTACCACATGAGGTGCGAATGACAATAAAGAATCTCTGACTCTGTTA